CCCAGAACTGACACCGCTTTCTAAAACCAACACGTCCCGTCCCCCCCCACCCCACCCCGAGCTCTTTCATCCCCTCTCCCCTGGTAGAAAGCTGGTTTGGATTCCCACCGCCACCACTGGGAGTAGCTTTACCTGAACCCTTTAAGACTGTGGAGGAAGACTATCCTGGACGTAACTGGAACTTACAGTGCGAGACCCCAGCTTTCCCACCACTCTGGTGTCTCTGCTGGCCTCCTGACTGTCCCCACTGTCCCCCCCGTGGCAGCCTTCGAAGCCCAGCAAAAACCAGTGACTGTTCAATGGATTCTTCTTTTTTTTTTTTCTTCTCGGTTTACATTCCTGGTTCTGACTTCATTTAAAGTATTTTGTGCTTTTTTTTTTTTTTTCCTAGAAATCAATGGTTTAAAAGCTAATTTGGTTAGGTTTTTGTTTTTTTTTTTTTTTAATAACGTCTTACTATTGGCTTAAAACCATAAAGCTTGTAAGTCCGCTGTGTTTAATTCTGCTTCTGAGGGATAACTTTTTGGGTGTGGGGTGGAGGGAGGGGGCCTGCCAGCTGTATAATGTGAAGCCACGTTGTTTTCTCTGTAAATAATTTTTTTAATGGCCAAAAAAAAAAAAAACCACTCGATTTGCAATTTTCTAACTTCTAAACAACACACACACACACAGACACACACAAAAAACTGTATGGCCTTTCTTGTAACATTTGCAAGGAATAAATGGTGACCCCTTTATGGGTGAGCTCGAGTCCTTCTTGTCCTGGGGGTGCCAGACCAGGGCCAGGACTGGGTCCAGTTGCTTATTCAGCTCAGCAGCTGCTGCGTTTGATCGCCCCAGCCCTTGTTGTTCAGGGGCTTGCAGCAGCCACAGCCACAAAGGGATTTCTGACACCAGGCTCTTGTCTCTACCTTGGGATCGCTGTTCTGGCTGCTTGGTGCCTGTTTTCTTAGGGAAACCCATTTTTTTTTGCCCCCATCAGGAAAACAAGGAGAAATTTCCTTATAAATACACACCTAGGAGGGCTACTGGGTGAAATTCCCCGTTTAAGCTTGGTTCCTTTAATTTTAAGGGTTTTTTTCAGTAGCTTTAGGATAGCATAGGCTTCTCTCTCCTAGGGAACTAAGCCCTGGGAGCAAAGGTTTACTTCCAAAGAGCAAATGAAGGCTCAATGGGTGCCTCTATCACTTCTCCTTGTGACCTGCACATGGACAGAGGTGATTTTTCCCTCGGGATGGGTGCAGGAGCCGTGCACTGCTCCCCCAGTAGCTCCTGCTTGGGCTGCAGCAGCCCCTCCATTTCACGGCCTGCCCCCAATTCCCACCTTCCTCCCCTGCCCCTGCTGTTTTGGCTGGCGAAGAAGCAGCTGGAGAAAAGCGAGGACCCTCGTTTGCCCCCCAGAGTCACTGTCACCGCTGCCCTGCGGCCCTCCAGGTAGGTGCAACCGGCCCAAACTCTTGGTTTTTCTGCAGCACAACGGTGGGAAACTGAAGCCAGAGAAAGCGGCGTGTTCATTCCTAATCATTTGGGGTGGGGAGAAAAAACAAAACAAAAAAAAAACACCAAAAAACAAGTGGTATTTCAGTGTGGTTGCTGTGGTCTGTGAGTGATTTCTGAGCTCGCCGTGGTCTGTGATGGGAGACGCGGCTGCTTTGTGCCTGGAGCCGCCGCTCGGCGCCGCGGCAGCCCTCTTAGAGAGGCAGGGAAGGGACTGCAGCCGCGCATCGGCACCAGGGCTCTGGCGGCCGTGACCGGAGCTGTGGGGGCTGTTGCTGCTCGATGAGGGAGGATTTTAATCGTTTGTGGTGGTGAAAAGGGTGATTGAGCTTCCTGGAGCATTAAACAGCGATGAAACTCAACCGCGCCATGCAAAGCTGCCTCGCTGCCTAAACAGCGGCTTTGGCTTGGGAACCTTTTGTGTGCATTTCAGGTGTGATCAGCTCGTTAACGTGCTCCTGTTAATTAGTTTGCACTTGAATACCAGAGAAAAACCCACCTAAGTTCATCCAGAAGATGCTCTATTCCTGTAACTCGTTATTCCTTCTGTAGATGAGGGTTGCTTGAGGCGCTGTAACCCCACCGAGCCCCATGGGCTGATTTGGGGCAGAATCACACACAGAATGGCTCGGTTGGAAAAGCCCTCTGAGATCATCGTGTCCAACCGTTCCTGTCTACCCCCTAAACCATATCCTTAAGTACCTCGTCTACCTGCTTTTTAAATACATCCAGAGACACAAGAGCTGTGAGCAGATGAAACCCAGGGTATTTCTACTTACCTCCTCTGGAGAGAAAGGCCACGAGGAGGATTTCAAGGCTGTTTTATAAAACACAAGGGGAAAAGGAAAAAAAACCACCCCCAAAACCCAACATCCACAATGAAACTAAAGCAATATTTCCTATTTTTCATATGTTCTAAATAAAATGCTCTTTGTGAAAGGGGGCAAAGCAGCCATGGCTCCCCTCAGCTTGCTCTCCAAAGCTTTATTACAGTGGTCATTTTGTGTTGCTGGGATCTACACCATGATCACAACCAAGGCGCTGCCCCATTTTTTCCAGCAATGGCTCCCAAAACAACCTGAACCCCCACCCCGAGCAGTTCCCCTCAGCAGAAAGCAGCACAAACTCACACCAACCGTAGAAATGTACCAGTTTTATTACAAAGGTTCTCAAAATTCAAAATAAAAGCATCTTTAAAAAACCACAATATATCCCCCCCTTCCCTCCCTCCCTCCCCCTGACACAAAGATGCACTGATCTCTTCTCGCTTCACATACAAACACCGAAGAGCAGGAGTGAGGCGTCGCTCGGATTCCCAAGAGACTTAAAAAACTCACGGTGGAAAAAAAGAGGCGAGGGGAAAAAAAGTATTTAAAAAAATAAAACATTTGACTATAACCTGTGTTAAGTTAGCAGCATCAGTAGAGTTGAAGCCGTCGGCAGCGCTCCGTGGGAGGTACAGATCGATCCCCCCCCTGGGGAAGGAGAGCAGAGTCCAACCTGCCCGCAAAAAACGTCGGCAAAGCGGTTCACCACAAGCTCCTCTACCCCTTGGCTGTACAAAAAATGCACCAGAAAGGCCAGTTCTGGTCACAAAAGCCTTTGGGTGCGAGATAACGCACGAGTAGGAAGAGGAGGTGTAAAAACACACAGAGCCCCATCTGCTGTTCCCCTGTAAAGGTAACGGCTCGGGCGGCTGATGAAGAAGTTGCTCCGTATTTACTGGCCTGAAGAGCATGGAAAGGTTCAGTTTGAAAAGGTTTTACTTCATTGCAGGGTTTTTCTGATCGAGGAGGGGTTCAGCCGGGCTCTGTTCGGTCTGGCCTTGGGCAACCTGGGAATTTCTGCAGTGGCTTCAGCCTAGGACACAAATCAGCACTGAAAAAAAGCAGATTACAGGGCAGGGAAAGCAAAGCGGGTGGCCAAACGGGCAGTAACTCCCTTCCTCCCCCAGAAAAGGGGCGTAGGTATAGAAAACAAGGTATAAAAATTCATCCTGTCTCTTACTGGAGGTGCAGGACGCTGCCACGACGACTGGATCCGCAAGAGCATGGAAAATACCAACCACCACCTTCGAGTGATCTTCACTTTGCGTTTTCCAGATCTGTACCTGCAGGGCTGGGTCACTAAAGCGCTTTCCCAGCTTGCTTGGAAGCTGCTCTGTCTCTCTCCACCAGTTTTGCTGCAGGGAGGTAGCCAACTCTAGTCAAGAACTGCACCATTTGACCCTGAGAAGCGGCACCAGCTCGCAGTTCCTTGCCATGGTGGAATCCAGCTGAGGACCAAAGGGACGGTCAGGCTCTCACAGGCTTCGTTTGGGAACTCGTATTGTCCCAGCAAAAAAACAAGTACACACAAGAAAAAAAAAAAAAGGGGGAAAAAAAAAATTCATGGCCATCTTTCCACCTAACCTGAAAATGCAGATACTACTTCTACTTAAATTACTCTTATTTCAGAGGAGAGAGAGCAAAGAAAGGAACTCATTTTTCAAAGACACACGGAGGAGGCAGCGGAAGGCAAGAGTGAAACTCCCCAGGCACCAAACCTGGGCAGTGCAGGGCTGTCCACTCCGCAGAACCCTCCCTGGCTGCTCCCAGCGGAGTGCAGCAAGGAATAATTTACAGTTCTCAAGTCATTTATATATTTATATAGAAATATATACAGAAACATATATAAAATATAAATCCTGTGGAATGGGAGGCAACCAGGGGAGCTAACCTACGACAACTACGCACTGACGGGAATGGCCAGCTGCAGCCATCTCAGGTGGATTTCGTCTCCTCCTTCACCCTGTGGGAGCAAGCAGTGAAGAATTTGGGTTAAACCAGGGCTGTGCCCAAGCTTTAATCACAAGCCACAGCTGCAACCTTCAAAACAGCCCATCTCCATCTAAAACTTGTAACATGTTACTGTAGTTTTAAGCCCTTTTCACTCTCAGGTCTACACATGCAACCTTCTTCCCATTGAGAGTCCCTGACAAAGCCATCCAAGCTCCCACGTCTCTCCTCCAACCCTCAACTTGTGCACCAGGACAAGGGGCAATGGTCCCAAGCTGGAGCACAGGAGGTTCAAGCTGAAGATGAGGACAAACTTTGTCAGTGTGAGGGTGCAGAGCATGGCCCAGGCTGCCCAGAGAGGTTGTGGAGTCTCCTTCTCTGCAGACACCCAAAGCCCTGGCCGTGTTCCTGTGTGACTGCTCTGGTGATCCTGCTCTGGCAGGGGTTGCACTGGGGGAGCTTTCCAGGGCCCTTCCAACTCCTCACGTTCTGGGATTCTGTGGGCATGGGTGGATGCACGAGGAAATAAAGACACAGCCATTTAATCGCTGTGCTGGGAGACAGGGCTCACCCTTTGGGTTCTGCTTTCTCCTCTTTTGCTTTTTCCTCTTCTTGCTCATCTAGGAAGCAAAAAAAGACACAGTAATGCAGTAGGAAAGTATAAAGTTCCCCAGAGCTGGGAGGGCTCCTGGTCCGAGCTCCAGTGCTTACCTTTCTTCTCCTCCTCCTCCTTTTCCTCCTCTGTTTTCACACGCTTCGCTTTCTTAAAGTTGGCAACGTTTTTGCGCCCTCCTTCCCCTTCGTCTTCGGAGTCGGAGAATTCCTCATCGCAGGATATCCTCTTATCCGAATTGCGGACTGAGAGCAGAGGACAAGAGGTTGTTTCAGCAGGTTTAGAAGTCAGGAGACACCAAGCACCAACTCCTCCGAGTACCTCTACACACTGGAATGAACTAACAAGCCTACGTAAATCAGAATTAGGCCACGATATCAACACTTTATCTTTCTCCCTGCCGTATCTTTTAACTCCTGACTCCTAAGTGCTCCTATCCAAGAAAACACGTACGACGTGGATTAGGCACAGCGCGGTGTCTAGACTTGACAGCGTAAGCAGGTTAACCAACCTCACGCTGAGGAAATCTGTCTGACAGATCTAAAGGCCATCAGCCAATCTGGATATAAACCACCGTTTTCACACGGAAGACAACTTCTGGGATCAAACCTGACAGCCTCCCAAAAAGCATTCTGGCACAGCACCGGCATCACAGGAACTGTTTCAGCTCTCACATTGAAGCCCATAACGGTTCTCCCATGATGGAAATCAGCTGGCAAAAGTGCCAGTCCTCCAAGGAAGAAGAAATCTCTCAGTCAGCTCTGCAGTGCCTAGCATCACTGCTTTACCTCACCAAATTGATCAGAAAAGGTGGGAACAGATTCAAACCAAAGGACTCTCCCTCTGCTCTGCCCTGGTGAGACCATATCTGCAATCTTGTGTCCAGTTCTGGGCCCTCAGGTCAAGGACAGGAAATGCTTGAAGGAGTCCAGCAGAGCCACAGAGATGCTGGAGGGAGTGGAGCATCTCCTGCTGAGGAGCGGCTGAGGGAGCTGGGGCTCTTGAGCTTGGAGCAGAGGAGCCTGAGGGGTGCCCTCATTCCTGGGGATCCATTGGGAAAGGGCAGTGTCAGGAGGAAGGAGCCAGGCTCTGCTCTGGGATGGCCAATGCCAGGACAAGGGGCAATGATCCCAAGCTGGAGCACAGGAGGTTCAAGCTGAAGATGAGGACAAACTTTGTCAGGGTGAGGGTTATGGAGCATGGCCCAGGCTGCCCAGAGAGGTTGTGGAGTCTCCTTCTCTGCAGACACCCAAAGCCCTGGCCGTGTTCCTGTGTGACTGCTCTGGTGCTCCTGCTCTGGCAGGGGTTGCACTGGGGGAGCTTTCCAGGGCCCTTCCAAATCCTGATACTCTGGGATTCTGTGACTCTGAACAGAGGTCTATGTAAATCACAGATCCTCCTCTCTTCACTAAGGTAGCTCAGTTTAGAGCCTGCACATTCTCCAGCTAACTGCTCCTGCTCAGTTTTGCACCCAGAGGCTCTGAACAGTGCCCTTCCCAGCCTGGCAACACAACCATGCCATACTTGAAATGCGTTTCTCAGGATCTTCCTCCTCTTCATCTCCGCTGTCTTCCTGCACAGCGTCCTCAAGGATCGGCTGCATCTGGACGCCAGGAGCGTGCGGCAGCATGCGCAGGTTCTCGAAGAGACGCTGCCTGCAGCCAGCGGGGAAAGAACACCCCCGTCAGCAAGGTGCCACCCGGGGCTGTGAAGCCCCCAGCAGAAGGTGTCAGTCTCCAAGGGGAGCAAACACTTACTTGATCTTCTCCAGATACTCGTTGGTATTCTGGTTCGTCATGTTGGAGGGACTGATGTGGAGCTTGAAGTCTGGTCCAAAGTACTCGAAATAGTCGTTGTATGGAAGTTCTGCAGGCAAGGTGAAAAGGAATAAACACCAAATTACCACTGGACTAGTGACAAGATACCACAAACTCATTGTACTTCTACAGAAAAGCACAACTGCATTTACCCAGGTACAGAAGCCAAAGCTCTCCTAGCGTTCGGATCAAAGCAGACAACTTAGCAACAGTGCAGTCAAAGAATACTTGGCCATAAACACCGCCAGTGCACACAGAAATCTTCAGCAGAAGGTTTCAGTAAGCCAGCAAGGCTGCCACTTTAACTGGAGGGGAGAGCTACAGGACTAGGATGCAAACAGGAACACCTACTGCAAAGCAGGGCATCCAAAAGCTCTTCCACAGTAATAATCAAGAGCTAATGAAACATCTTAGGATTGCTGCTCTCCCACAGCAACATCATTTCCCTGAGCTCTGTTACTGGAGTGTCACTGTTCCTTAGTTCTTGCTTGAAAGGCTCCAGGGGAGAATTACCATTGGGAATTTCAGTGTCCAAAGCCACAGCAGTCTCGTAGGTCCAGCACCTCGCCACGTTGCGGATCGTATAACCACCTCCTCCCAGCATCAGCATAGGCAAATTAAAACTTTTGACAAACTCCACGCACTTGGCATGACCTGCAGCAAATGCAGTGGGGGACAAGGTCACAGCCTCATGGTATAAGAAGAGCAAACTTTTCAATGAAACGTAATCATATCAGTTATGGCAGCTCAACACAGGCACGGTACGGTACTCTTACCTTTGATGGTCAGATTAAAACAACCCAGCCTGTCCCCTGACAGAGAATCTGAGCCGCACTGCAAGACAACTGCGCTAGGCTGGAACGTCTCCATCACTTTAGAGATCACCTAAACAAGAAACCCGTTGTTACACACTCTCCACAGGACACTGTCACAGCAACAGTGACAGCAAGTGACACGAAGACATCCCCAGTGTTCCCACAGCTGCTGACTCCCCTGTGTTGGCAACAGCGAGGCTCTTACAAAGAGCAGCTTAGTGACGACAGGCTGCAATTGTTAGGGAGGAATAGAGCCCCTGAAGAACCTCACCACAGAAAACTGAATCAACCTCCCCAAAGCACGGCTTAGCGAGCCACCCAGGGACAAAGTACCATCCACAAAGAATCACTCAGCAAAGACTTCTTCACTTACTGGCTTGAATATTGCTTCGTAGGACTCGTCATCAATCCCATCCCGCAGGGGATAGTTGACAGCGTAGTACTTGCCTTTGCCTGCACCGATATCCTATGGGAGTGAAAGACAGGAGAGACCACAGGTCACCAGAGAAACAACTGCAGCACAGCAACTGTGCCCCAGATTGGGAAGGGAAGCCTGGGATTCCATCAGTGTAAACCCAATATAGGCCTAGGCTCTCATGGACAAATACTGCCCCAGCAGAAGGTGGCAAGAGTCACTTGACTTCCACAGCAGCTTACTTGGCACAAGTGGGTGCATTTGGCCCTCAGTCCTCAGAGCAGAAAAATCCACTGCTGTCACCACTTCCACGTTGCTGGGAGCACCCAGGCTCTCATTTCACTGGCAAAAGCCACTCTCTTACACGGCAATAAAACTGGCAGCCAAAATTCTAGTTCCAAGCCTGCACACTGCGGAGATGCACAGCCCAAAATACCAGTTTGGGCTGACTGTGCAGACTAGTAACTGGAAGAATTTATTTTTACTTTAAAATAATAAATGTATTTTTACATTTCCATTATCTCAAGTGTTTTATAACAAAATAATGATTTCATTTATGCTGCAGAGCATTTGCACTACGCTGCAACTGCACACAAGTTCGTATCACCAATGCCAAGGTCTGGGTAGAGCTGGAAAAATACAACTCACAAGTGGAAGACAAGGGAATTTAGATCAGAAAAATGTAATTCCACTAAAAAGCACATTAAAATAAAAGGTAAAGAACCTTTCACCCCAGAGAACAGCATTCTGGCAATGTCAGGGGTCACAAAGTGAACCACACCTGTATCTAACCTGAGACAGTGCCACAGTTATGACCACGATTCATTGCCGTGCAGAAGTGACTCATAGGAGGAAATGCCGCCAAGACAAACCAACCCACACTCAAGTACTCCCTCATAAACTCTCACCCAAAGCTCGTGTGACCAAGCTCAGTTTGCAGGTCACTCCAGATGGCCAACAATGCCATCCTCAGGGTCACTTTTTGGAGCATAATCCCACCAGAAACTGCTGAGAGACCGATAGCAAAGCCTTGGTTTTATCACTGTACAGGATATGATCACAGGAACAAAGCATCCACTCCAAGAGCTGAGCCAGCTGCCTCACACCTTTGCCCTCAGAAAAAGGAAGTCCCTTTGAGAGCAGGAAAACCCAGGAGAGCAGTGATTTCAGTTCAATTGCTACGACAGCAGACAGATGGGAGAGACCAAATTTCAGGGTAATTTTCTGCTAAGCCCCCATTCTCACCCGCAGGTCCCCTGTTCCTGGGAAGTATTCCCCGTACTTATGGAAGGACACGGTCATGACTCGGTCTGTGGTATAAAAGGCTTCCTCCACGCCGTCCCCGTGGTGAATATCAATGTCGATATACAGCACTCTCTGGTGATACCTAGGATCAGAAAGGAGTCAAAACGCTGCATTACTTCAGAGCAGAAACTGCCTTCAGCAGAGCAAAGCGGAGCAGAGCGAGGAGCTCAGTGCTAATCCCCAGGCTGCACAGCCACAGCCACCTCCCTCTCCAGAGTCTCCAAGCAAAAGAGCTGCAGAGAACGGACATGGGCCTTGGTCAGCGGCAGAACAGAGCCACAGAGGAAAGTAAAACGGCTTTTGCTGCTGCAACTGATCTCTGAAGGGAGACTCAACTCGGTTTATTCAGATTCAGCCAACAGACCGCATTTTTATGTCCAACCCTCCCACTGAGGTTTGCCTTGAGCCAAAAGCTGTCACATATTACAGCTGTGCCCCCTTTTCCAGGGTGAGCGGTGGAGAGCAGGGCCTAAGAGCAACCACACAATGCTGCAAGCCTTCTGCCTCCTGCACAGTGCCACCACTAATGAAGCCCTCCCGGGAAAACAGCTAAAAAATACAATAAAAAGAAAGGACTGGGAAGAAAACGCTGAGAACTCAAGAGTAAATGCAGCAGAACAGAGAAATAAAAGGGGTAAATGGTACTGCCCGTACTTCAGGAGCTCCAAGATAGCCAAGACGATATCGTTGACATAACAGAAGCCAGAAGCCTCTGATTTCTTTGCGTGGTGAAGGCCTCCCGCCCAATTCACAGCAATATCAGTCTGCTGCTTGTTCAGCTTCACAGCACTGGCTGTTGGGAGAAGAGTTACAAAACGTTAACGTGAGAGCAAAGGCTGCATGACAGAGACCGAGGGGTAAAGCACAGGTCCCTTACGATCACATCACTGCTTGTGTGTGTGTGTTTGGGTACCTTACAGAGCAGAAGCCCAAGGGTTTAACACTGGATGTCTCAACAAACTAACAAAAGGCAAGGGAAGAGAAATGCAGCCTCTGTTTTGCCTGCAAACACTTCTGATCGCTTCCTACTTTTGCCTCAGAGCACGAAATCTGCACAAACAGGTCCGCAATGCTCTAACAGGGGTCACAGTTGAAGACAGCTTGGATTTCTCAGTGGCCTGCACAAAGGATTTCAATGAAAGGTTTTATCCACCGTACATTGAGGTCGTTCACTGAATATGCTTTTAGGCAAAGGGAGTTCTCTTCCCTCAGCCCCTTCAGAAACTTCCTCCAAATTTTGCAAGTCTCCCAGGATGAAAACAGAAATTGTGTGGAATCTCCAGCCGTGGGACCAGAGAGCACAGCCACGGCAAAACCGCTGCACTCGGCGCTTGTAGGTACTGCTGAGCCGTGTTACAGGAAATACAGACTTGTAGATGTCACTGTGGGAGTAGCAGCCACAAAGCTTTAACGCTTATGCACAGGAACACGGTTCCGCAGTACCAGTCTTTTTGCAACCAAGTACTTGACAACAGTGAAAGCATTTTAAATGTTCCAGCTTTCAGGGAGCTTACTGAAACCTTGCAGCTTCTACTTTGCCTCGTGTCCAGAGACAGTGGCTTTTTGTTGAAAACAACAGATAAAGTAACCCTTTTCTCTCCTTCCCAGGTTATGCCTGCCTGCAGCAAGGTTTTTACAAGTTGGTTTTTTTTCTGTAAACCTCACTGATTTTTTTTATTAAACCCCTGTTCCTGCAGCGGTTTGGTTTTAACTTTATCACCAGCAATGTTGCTAGACCACTTAAGAGTCCTTCACGTATTCAGTGAAGTAAACGCGACTCATGAAGATATGCTCAACAAATGTAGAAGGATCTGCAGCAGGCAAGGCTTGAACTCTCACATGAGAGGAAATCTGGATCTAATTATTAAGGAAATCAGAAATGGGTTCACAGGGCTTCCCCGCCACCACCTACAACAATTTCTTTCCTCGACAGAGCTACACTACAGACATCTGCTCAAAGGAAAGGCAAAGAACATACGACTCGTGAGCTTACCAACTGAGCCTCCAGCAGAGAGCTGACAAAACTCAAACAAGCCATCGAACACAGGGCAGTCCTCCCCAACGTTGACTTGAAAAGAGCACAAAAGAGTCAGTCAGACAAACCCACAAATAAACAGCAAAGCTTGCACCACGGCTCTGATTTAAAAAGCTAACCAGATAAGCGATCAAATGTTTTAGACAAGAAAATACCACACGCAAATGATAAAACATTAATGCAATTAATGAGGATTGCCCGATGAGGCAAAACGTTTGTTGCTGCATGGAAGATGCTCCCGATTTGTAAGAAAATGGGGAAGCAGCTCCCAGGAGCTGTGGCGAGAGCCGTGCACGCCATCTACCGAGGTGCGCTACCAGGGATCCCGAAACCAGTCAATCACCTCGGAAAATGAGTGGGCGGGGAGGAGATGCTATCAGTAAGAGCTGTGCTATACCCATTCGCGGCCTCAGCAGCAACCCCAGCGGTGCTCGCTGGGGCAGCACATTTACAGTGCTCTGCTCTGCTCCGGCAGCACACGCTGCTCACCACGGGCACACAAAGGCTGTGCAAAACAGGGGTCGGCAGCCCTTGGTACCCCACACGGGGCATATTGCAGCCCTGCTGCCCAGAGACCGTGCATTCTGGGGGGCACGGTGCTGTTTGTGACTACAGAGCGGACACCGAGCTCCTTCACACACCCCCACAGCAAGCGGGAAGGGTTTTTGCTCCTGTTTCCTGCTGCATTGCTGACAAGGGGCTGAGAAAGCAAATAGGAGAAAGTGAGGACGTGGTAGATAGTGGTTTGTACTGGACGAGACGTTTCCATCCACATCTACTCTGTTACACTTTGTAAATTCCTTTTACTTGTATTTGGACAGTCAGCTTTTAAGTACTCAGCAGTACTGTGGCTTTGGCCTGTATAAATTTCTACTGTAAACATTTTCACGATTAAAATTAAGAACAGTAACAACAGGCTTGTACTGAATCTAGATTTTTGCAAGATTTGCTTTTACAAACAAACAAAAGAATTACATATCTGCATTTTTGTAACAACATCTGCAGAATGTTTACTTCTATGCTTGATGAGAAAGGCACAAAACAGCACCAGAAACTCGCCAGTGCACAGCCTCCACAAAGGCTGTGTGATAAGGGAGCCTGAATGGTCCCAGTTCGGGACAGGGATCTCTGAAAAGGACAATACCCATGAGCAGACCCAGAAGGAAGCAATTGTTCCCCCTTCCCAACTGTTTCAGCAGGGCACGGCAACGGGCAGAGTCTGAACAATTAATTCAAAGAGGTGGTTGGAAGCTTTCCCTGTTAGGAGAATTTAAGTCATCAACTTCTGCTTGCTTCCCATTACACCAAATTAAACCTTTTGCCCTTCAGGTTACAGAGCAGTCCTCCCAAGTCTTCAGGCAGGCAGCACAGCATTAGCAGAATGAAATCAGAGCCTGCTCACCACCTTCACTGCCCCTCAGGACTTTGTGGGCAGCACTGGCAGTATTTGTGGGCATCCCTCTGCTACACCTGGCAAAGACAGGAGCTGCTGTGTAAAGAGAAAACAATTTGGCTTTTTCCCCATGAGGAGACTCAAAGCAGCCAGGATTGCTGAGGAGGGATATTAATAACAGGGGTCAATCACTTGACTACAGGCGTAAAGCTCTGGTGGAAGATGAGAGGCACAGATGCTCCTTCTCCCTTGCAGCGGGTGGGCGAGAAGCTTCGGATCTGGGAGAGCGCAACATTAAAGGTGGAGCCATCCTTATGGCAAACAGCAGCGGTCCTTCCCTCGAAGGGAGAGCTGAAGCACCAAGCAGGCTACAGAGACCTGCTACCGTCCTTGGGAGTGGTGACCCTGGCTCCTCTGTCCCTAATCTCTGCTCTGAGCCTCCTGTCCTAGTTCTCCAGCTACGCAGAGGCCGCTGTTTTGCAAGTCTTGTTGAAGAAAAGCCCTGTCCTCTGTATGTTTAAGATTAATTCTCACATTTTGCCTCCTTCAGGTAAAAATAGTTGTGTGGAAGTACAGTGCAGAAAATGTTGACTACCAGAGAGAGCAGAGTGGGTGTTTATGAGCCGTATCTGCTTCAGGGGTAAACAGTTCAGCTTGTGTAAATATGTACTTTGGTATATGTCATCTGGTATATTAAGGCATATCATTTACTGTAGGAAGTCTTTCTACGTATATTACTCGTGAACCATATTACCTATTCCTCTGACGTGCTTGTGCCTTAATATCTGTCCCCTTCAGCTCACACCAGATTTTCAAGTGCCTCTACTTCAGACTCGACACCCGTATTTCTTCTCAATTGGAGATTACACTTCACACAAAATAAACCCATGGGCTAACAACTTCTTTCTGCTCTCGAGGATTGCAGCGTGCAAGACCAAAACAGTGTTTAAAAGAACCTTGAGCGTTGCCCCCCATCTGTCTATACTTGATAAAAACCTAGTTTGACAGAGTTATTGCCAGAGAACATCAGCTCAGAGTTACAGAGAGACGAAAAAGAGGTTTCTGTAACATTAAAGTCGCCGTTAAAGAGCCTTTGCATGGACTGGGGAGGTTGGAACAGGAGATGAGCTCACAAAATAAACCATTCTAACAAGAAGTGGACAGGCACCATTGTGCAGCTCAACCCTCCCCCGTATCCAAAATGAAAATCCCTCTGTTACTGCAGATTTTGGGCACAACTGATGCGTTGGGTTAGTTTGTTTGTTTGAATTTACACAACCCTTTCGCACCTCAATACCTCTGGTATAAATAAGCTGTAACACAAAACACATGCAGCTCATAAATGGAGTATTTCAGTCATCTCTGAACCAGGAAGCCAATTTAGAACAGTTTCCATCAAAACACAAGACCAAAGAAAAGTCAGCCAGGTCAATGTGCTTTCCTCAGCAATTTTGGCACATTGGCTTATGAGGGGGACACATATTTTAAATGCATGATTTAAAATCAAAAACAAGGTCAGGAGAGAGAACATTTGCCATGGTTACTCCTACTCCTGGTATCACAAAGCCCTAAAGCCGGCCTAGGATTCCCAGAACCACCAATTTTAACAGGAAATACCGCACCACAAGCATATCTTACATCTTTGCATCTGCTTGCTGTACTCAGACATGTTATCGGGGCGAATAGATCTCAGAAATTTGATGTAGTCATCACTGTGGTACTTGGTCATTTCTTCTGCGTTTGCCTTGTGAGGGCGCTGCAAGGACAAAACCAAACAATAAAAAGGAGCGAGGCTTGTTTTGAAACACATCTCTCTCCTTAAGTCCCATTTCCAACCTCAGAGTTACTCCCACGAACAGCAAAAAACACAACCCAGCTGCATTTAACAAGAGAAACTTATTTTCAAAGGCAAGAATGCCACTACTGGAGACTGGAATGTATTACACATCTAGACAAAGAAAATATTTAAGTGAGAGGGAGAAAAGCAATTTCCCAGTCTCCAAAGCTTATCTGAACCAAAGAACATCTCACTGCAAGCAACCAGAAGCAAACAGAAATACATCAGCACAACTGTTCGGGTTTGCTTTTCCCCCCTCTTTGGCTTGTCAACAGAGAAGTTACAAGTCCGAAGCATCAAAATTAAAACCTGACACGTAAATTAAGACCTTTCATACGTATTTCTCTTCATGACGAGCTCTACACTCACATATATCTCCATCTTCCTGTAGAGGCACAGCAGGAGGTTGTGGGTCATCCGGATCCTGTGGGGTTTCATCGGGTGTCCTTGGCCATAGTAGTAGTTCCCAACGTCACCTGGGAGCAGAAAGGATTTGGTTACAGCAGGGAGCACTATGAATTCCTTCAAACAGAACCACAGCCGATCCACGGGAGCTATCAGGTCATGTCGTTTTATTTGTCCTTCAGCAGTGCATCTGTTCACAGGGGAGAGGGTCTCATCTTCCTTGCACAGGTACCTCTGTGGATTCAGAAAAGTCTACCCTAGACTCAAATAAGATAGACATTTGGGAATTAGGGTATGGCTAGATAAGTAATTGCTTAATGCCAGTTCTAGGGAAGGGAACCTAGGTAGAGTCTGAGTAACTAACATCAGATGCACAGGGTGCAAGGAGGGAGCTGGGCACCACATCTGCGTGTCCTCACTCAGCAGACAGCTCTCCAATGTCCCCTCCGGGCCGTTCGGGTCCACTGTGACAGCTCACAGCTACAGAGCTCACAGGTTTCACTGAGAAACCACCTCTGAGCAGAAACCCACACACCAAGAGGCAGGCAAGTTTAATCCCAGCTCAGACAATGACTCATCAGAGGGAGCAAGTAGCCTCTTTGCCTCAGTTTCTTACTATTTACCTAACAGAAATGTGATACAAAGCAGCTAATTCTGTACTTTGACAGCTTCTCCATCATTTTCACCCTTTATTATTGCTGGAAATCCCTCAGAAGGATCCCAGTCCCTACCAACCACACACCTGACGAGCTGTCCTGTGAGCACCAGCATTACTGAAGTTCGCTTCCTGCAGATCTATCTCATGGGTCACCTCCCCGTGTGGATTTTCTCCTGTTGAGCAAAAGCTCAGCCTTTCCTGCTCTCTCCCACAGTCAGCACTGCTAACTGGTTTGGTTCTTTCCCCCCTCCTCTCCCAGGGTATTCATTTCCATGAAACTTAGAGGAAATTTAACTTTCAGATTTCTGCCTCCTGCCTGATTTGGCTGCGGGAGACACAGACTCAGAAGTTGCCAGGAGCAGGAAAGGCGCAGAGATCCACACGCAGCAGCAGCGCCGTTTTCTTGGGAAACAAGACCAAGCTGTTCATGAAGCTGTACGAGTCCAAATCAGTTTAGAAAGCAGGAGACCCAATCCGGTCTGGCTGGTGACTCAGTTGGGAGCATTAATATTTCATCACCAATCTTTACATTCAGAAGAAACTGCTGCTTCCTCGCAGCACCCAGCTGTAGTTTCTCCTCCTGTGGATGTGGCCCTATTTTCAGTCAAAGCAGATGCAAACGGTGCAAATCCCACACCCAGACAACTCTGCTGCTGCTGCTGCAGTTACCTGTCCATGGCGCAACGGTGAAATGAGGTGTTCTTTGCACGAAGGTACTTTACTGGGGCAACTATCCCTACAGTAAAATCAGGTTAAATCAAGCTTTGGGGAACTCAGTAAGAGATGCTCAAGACCCTATCTAGAAAATTCAAGCACAAAACTACACGAAGCTTTAAAAAATCATCATCGCCTTCACCTCAGGCTGTCAGCAGAGCGCCCTGGGCAAGCCCTGACTCCAGAGCCTGTTCATGTTCACTCCGCTGAGCACGTCCCACCGCGAGTCCCACAGAGCAGCAGCCGAGCTCGTCTGCCCGTGGACGTCAGCGCAGATTAAGAGTGTGAACCAAACAGCCACCTCTTCCTGTCTGCTGGGGCTAAGCACGGCCCTACGCAGGGAGCTAATAAAGGAGCAGTTACTGCTCAAGCTAAAACCCTCACGATTTCCATGGAGGACCCTTACGAAACCCAATTGCCTTTTCCCCACTCTCTGCATCCCATCGAGACCCTTCCCTGCAGCCCAGGTTCCTCCTCCAGCACAGGATGCCCTCCTGGAGACCCAAATGCCATCCAAAACAGCACCCAGAGACCTCCCTTTGGGGAATTACCGCACTACATTGCGCTGTTTTTAACCTTCCTGCATGGAAAATCAAAGATCCCAACAAACTAGCCTCCCACAACTGCAGATTCTGCCTTCCCTGACAATAAAAGCACACTTTCACCCTAGGATATGCCGTGGATGTTTGCCAGCCGCTTGTAAAAGAGGTGGGGGAAGCACAGCACTGAAACCTCACCACAGAGCAAACGAGTGAGGACAGCTATAAACAAGAGCGTAGAGCATTAACTTTGTGTAGTTACCGTGCAATAAAGACTACGAGGATAGCATCTCTGCTTAGCATTTTCCAACAAAATGACTGGTTATTACACATTTAAGACATCATCATGGGCCTTTAAAGATTATAGCTTGGTCACAAACTGACAAGCTGCTTTGTGAATATGTTACATTGTAAGGACAGGGGTAACTTTGGACACAGAGAGCATTTTATTTCAACATCCGGGCTGCGCACACATGTGTGGCATTCTGGCACTCCCTGCAAGCAGGCTTTACGTTTAAACCAGGCATTTTAGGGCTCCAGCATCCCCTTGTATCTTGATATGATGGGTGTTGCACAGAGATCAGTTGTGTGGTGAAATCTGGCTCAGTTTTGCTGCACCCAGTGCTCTAATCAGACTCCTCCTTACCCTGCCCTCCCAAAGACACTGGCTGAGTCAGAGACCCCACAGGACTGCCATTGCAAGCTGCAAACCTACTGCTTGGATTGACTTTTCTAGAGAAATAAAAGTACATACAGCAGTTTAAGAGAGCCTGCTTTACTTGAACACTGAGCGCATCCACTTAGCAGGAAAAAGTAGCGAGAAAAAGTTTTTATTTGACTCCACAGACTGAAAACCAGGACAAAATAGAGAATTGCACAACACCTTTCACAGAGCGCGATCACAGACTTTACTATAAATGAGCTCGCCCATCACCGAGGCACCAAGTCAGCCCCTGGAGAGGAGGCAGCTGAGAACGTGCAGAGGCGACACTGCTGTGGTTTCTCCCACAGACTACGGGGTAGAAGCTCCATAAGACACCCAACTTGGGACGTGGCCAGCTCTAACACCCCGTTACTTCCCTACCCCAGTGGGATGATTACGCAGCCCCAAAGCAGTGCTTCCCCAGCCTCACAAAAGAGAAAAAAACCCAGTCTACAACCCAGCCAAGCTCAGAGCCAGACCTAAACAATGCTCCCAGACACAGGAACTCCCTACAAACAACCACACAGTTGGTCTGGCTCCAGACACCTTCAGGTTTGTCCCCTGCCCGACAGCAACGCTGCTGACCCCTATGGGAGCTTCAGGAGTTGCCTCTTCCTCCTAATGTGGCTCAAGAAGGCTCCATCTCCCCATGACCCATTCTGGCCCCTAGCATCTCCCTGGGTGCTCCTCATCCTCCTAGAAACCTCCAGCACCTCAGCACAGCTCTCAAAGCCTCTCTCAGCCTCACACCCCTTTCCCCATCCTGGATGTTTCACAGCCTTTCCCCCCCTTCCCATCCTAATCTACCCCCATCTCCCCTCACTTTTCCCACCACTCCTCCCTTCCCTCCTCCAGTGCTCCCCACATCTCTCCCATGCCCTCCAGTGTCTCCCATTCCCCCAACCCCACTGCACATCCCACATAATCCTGCCCCCACCCACGCTCTGACCCCCATTCTCCTATTGCTCCCTGCCCCTCTCAGTGCAGCCCCCAGCCCTCCCCTAACCCTCAGTGCCCCTGTATCCACCCTTCCACAC